GACCCCAGCAGCTTTTTAGAGTTGGGAGTGAAGGCTACGGCAGAGCTATGAGCAGCTTGATCACTGCTGAAGGCAAACTTCAACACAGAGTGAGAAGCCATACAGCCTCTGTGGACAAGGGTTACCAGTGGGAATGTAGACCAAATCTTCCAAAATGTAAAACAGATTTTGAGCCAGACATAATATGCATGTTTGTAATCCCATCATTGGAGAACACAATGCAAGAGAATCAATGTGAAGACAGCCTTGGGCTGCATACTAAGACTATCTCAGACCAGACTTGGTGGTGCAAACCTTTAATGAAAACACTCAAGTGGCAGAGAGAGGCAGGGGTACTCTCTGTGAGTTGGAAGCCAACCTGGGCTACAAAGTGGTTCCAGGATTGACAGAACTACATAGAGAGACCCTGTCTCAAAACAAACAAACAAACCACAAAAAGAAAACCTCTATCTCAAAAACACAAACAGTATAAAATAAAATAATAATAATAATAATAATAATAATAATAATGCAGCCAGATTGCTGGTGCAAACCTATAATCCCAAAACTCCAGAGGTGATGGCAGGAGGTTCATGAGCTCAAGCCCATTCTGGACTACAGTAGTGTGATACTCTTTAAAATAATAATAATAAAATAAGGCAGGGGTTACCCAGAGTAGAACTGCACCCAGTGCCCACTCCTCCACATTCTTATTTCATTCCCCTTCACTGTAGCCCCTTCTCAACCCACAAAAGCTTCCAATATTTGTATACAATATTTATTTTGAAGCTCTATTTTAATAGTATTTATTTTGCAAAGTTTATTATTCTAAGAGTTCTGTTTGTGAAGAAAAAAAAGCTAAAAACAGAAGCAGGCAAATCTGAGTTTGAAGCCAGTCTGGTCAACAGAGTGAATTCCAGGACAGCCTGAGCTACATAGAGAAATGCTGTCTGGAAAATCAAAACAAAACAAAACAACACCCTCAATGCACCAAATCTAATTTCTGAGCCCCATGTCTACAAGGTCTTTTCTGAAAGTTCTGAACTTTTCCCCCCGGAACCTGTCTTCAATAAATAGGACAGTATCTGTAGCTGCAGGATCCCCAGCCCCAGTGCCCAGCACAGCCTTGGCAGAGCGCTAGCACCCCTGAGTACTACTGTACCAATCTGTGAAATACAGGTCTCCTGAATGTTTGGGACCCTACAGTCTGTGGAAGCCCCCACCCATCCCAACCAGTGCTGTCACTCAGTGCCCTCCCCAGTCTGCCCCAGTGCTCCTTACCAAGACTCACAGTGTGTGCCCACCCCATCCCACCCCCGCCACTTCTGCTAAAGATTTCATGGTTCCCTTCATCCACAAACACTAAGTGCCTTCAGAGTACAGTGGCTAGTGTTAGACAAGCCTTCTGCTTCAATGTGTGTGTGTGGGGGGGGGCAACTGTTTGTGTAGATAAGATGTTTCCATCTTGGAGGTGGGGGAGTGAGGAAACAGTAGCGTGTAAAAGGCAGTAATTTAAATAATCAGACACTACACCCCCTGCAGATACCATCAGACTAGGTGCTGCTAGTAAAATTCAGGGTCCCAGTCTTGGATGGCAACCACCCCCGGGCTGCCCTACTTGGGAGAAAGATAGGGGAGCCTCGACCGAGTCCACGCTACGTTCTGAAAACTGGACTACGAAGAAGCCACACGGTCCGTTGGCAAATAGAAAGAACACCGAAGAGGACAGGACCTAGGTTTCTTCACTTCGCTGTTCTGGACAGTAAGGATGTGGAAAATTAAGAAGCCTTCTCCCCTATAAAACAGGACCGACGAGGATGGGATTCGAACCCACGCGTGCAAAGCACAATGGATTAGCAGTCCATCGCCTTAACCACTCGGCCACCTCGTCCCACACACAGTGTTCCTTTCCACATTCCCATATCTCTCATCTCACGTGCATCTCCTTCATGCTTCCATCCTCGTTCCTAGTACTTACTTGGAAAAGTTCATTAGAAGAAGAAGCAATAAGAGTTTTTAAAATTTCCTCTCGGAGGGCTTCAGCCAGGAACCGCGCCATCATCGACTAAGCCGCAGCTGAGCTCTGCTCGGGCTCCCTTCCCCACGGCCCAGCGAGCACACTGGGGTTTGAGGACGCGCTCGGTCCGGGGTGGGGATTGGGGGGTCTGCGTCCGGATCCCGAGGGAGAGATGCACGTCCAGGGGTCCACGGCCGCACGACGTGACCGCGATTAGGTTCGGCATTTGCAAAGCGCGCGCCGAACAGCCGCCGCTGCAGTAGCTCCTCCTCTCTCACAGAGGGCGAGCTGGCACGCACCTAGATCGAGGCGAGCAGACGCGGGGCGGGGAGGAGAGCTGGGCTCGGCTAGCCTCGGCTGGCCTCGGCTGCGCTCGGCAGGCTGCGGTAAATCTGGGCTTGCGGTGGCCGGCAGAGGCTACGGCCGGGTGGTCCCCGCATCGCGCCGGGTGCCCCGAGAGCCATGCAAATGTCCTACGCCATCCGATGCGCCTTCTACCAGCTGCTGCTGGCCGCTCTCATGTTGGTAGCAATGCTGCAGCTGCTCTACCTGTCGCTGCTTTCCGGACTGCACGGGCAGGAGGAGCAGGAACAGTATTTCGAGTTCTTCCCGCCGTCTCCGCGATCCGTGGACCAGGTAAAGTCTCAACTCCGTACCGCGCTGGCCTCCGGAGGCGTTCTGGATGCCAGCGGAGATTATCGCGTCTACAGGGGTCTCCTGAAGACCACCATGGACCCCAACGATGTCATCTTAGCTACGCATGCCAGCGTGGACAACCTCCTGCACCTGTCGGGACTTCTGGAGCGCTGGGAGGGCCCTCTGTCCGTATCAGTGTTCGCGGCCACCAAAGAGGAGGCACAGATGGCCACAGTGCTGGCCTACGCGCTGAGTAGCCACTGCCCGGAGATGCGTGCCAGGGTCTCCATGCACCTCGTATGCCCCTCGCGTTATGAGGCTGCTGTGCCCGACCCCCGGGAGCCTGGGGAGTTTGCCCTGCTGCGATCCTGCCAGGAGGTCTTTGACAAGCTAGCCAGGGTGGCCCAGCCCGGGATTAATTATGCACTAGGCACCAACATCTCCTATCCCAATAATCTGTTAAGGAATCTGGCTCGAGAAGAGGCCAACTATGCCCTGGTGATTGATGTGGACATGGTGCCCAGCGAGGGCTTGTGGAGAAGCCTGAGGGAAATGTTGGATCAAAGTAACCACTGGGATGGCATGGCCTTGGTGGTGCCTGCATTTGAAATCCGCCGGGCCCGCCGGATGCCGATGAACAAGAATGAGCTAGTGCAGCTCTATCAGGTGGGCGAAGTCCGGCCCTTCTATTATGGGCTGTGCACACCTTGCCATGCTCCCACCAACTACTCCCGCTGGGTCAACCTGCCAGAAGAAAGCTTGCTGAGACCTGCCTACGTGGTGCCCTGGCGGGACCCCTGGGAACCATTTTACGTGGCTGGAGGAAAGGTGCCCACCTTTGATGAGCGCTTTCGGCAGTACGGCTTCAATCGAATCAGCCAGGTGCCTAAAAGGGACAGGACAAGTGGGACTGGGGCTGGAGGTGTGTCAGGGACGGAGTGGACATTGACAGAAAGGACATGAAGAAAGAGGAAAGTGGTTAGACGAATGGAATAATTCCCGAGAGGGAGGTGGAATGAAGCTTTAGGGGTGTCTGGGCCCTGGGGATGTCATTAAATTATTGTGATATCTATCTATCTATCTGTCATCTATTTCTGTCTCTTTGTCTCCTCTCTTCTCTCTCCAGGCCTGTGAGCTACACGTGGCAGGATTTAATTTTGAGGTGCTGAACGAAGGTTTTCTGGTTCATAAGGGCTTCAAAGAAGCATTGAAGTTCCATCCCCAAAAGGAGGCTGAAAACCAACGCAATAAGATCCTTTACCGCCAGTTCAAACAGGAGTTGAAAACCAAGTACCCCAACTCTCCCCATCGATGCTGAGTCCTTTCTTCCCCTGGTCTGAGACTTCTTAGCATGTGGCTCCTCAGGCCTGACTGGGGTAAGACACATCCCTCCACTCTACAGAGGTAGCTGTGGTTTTGGAACACTGGACTTGACTATGGGCTGCTGGGATTAAGTCCTAGTTTACCACTAACTAGCTGTGTGGCCTTGAACAAATCCTTTTACCTCTCTGAGCCTCCAATACTCCGTCTGTAAAAAGGGAGGTGAAAATACCTACCTCACAGAACTGCTGGCTCAGATGAGGTGCTCTATGTGGAAACATCCTGTAAACTTCGTACAAATGTGAAGTATTATTAATATTATTACAGTGTTATTATTGTTAGTATTATATTGTTATTATTAACAATGTTGGGTGGATAGCCGCAGAGCAAGAAGTATGAATGGAGTAAATCTGAGAATCTGAGTACTTAATAAAATGAAACTTTTGGAAAGAAAGATGAAAACACAGGACGTAGTGCTCAGTCTGGGGTAGAACTTAAGCTTCTTGATTCTCTCACACCTTGGTCCTCTGAGCTCCCTGAAGGAGCAAGGGTCTTTAGGCCCTGGGGGTTAAACTCTCAGCTCTGTGCCCTTCAGTAGGTTGGGCTGCGCGTTTGCCTTCAGATAAGTGTGTAAATAAACGAGTGTTCAGACCCACAGCTGGCTCTGTTACTCTCCTGAGCTGAGGGGTTGTGGGTGGAAGCATTGTGTTATCTGCAGTGTACTCGAGAGCACCGACCACAATGGTGGGGCAGGCTGGAGGCCTGGGAGATTGTGGGCCGGTTGCTATGGAGACAAGCCCGCGGTATCCCGGCATGCCCGAGCACCAATGCTTCAATTGTAAACTTCGCAACGGGCGCCTTCTGATGACGCACACGGAAGCGTCGGCACCTCCTGGAGAAAGAGGGACCTGCGCAGCTCAAAGCCTGAGGCCAACGGCGGTGGCGTTTACAGCTTGGGTCCAACAGCTCTTGCAGAGTCTCGGACATTTGGCCGAAGGCCCCAGGCCCTACGGTGCGTATGGTCACGCCTAGCGCTGGATTGGGCTTCCCGGGTCCGAGTCAAAGCAGAGACTTAAATGGTCCGGCTCTCGTGCTGGCCTTAGACGAGACTGCGGTTCCCTGGCCAGTCCCCGGTGAATCTGAGGGTGGATCGCGGCAAGATGCTCCCGGAGAGCCGCAGTGAGTTTGTTCTCTGCGTCTTTAGGGAGGGGTATCCCTTCCTTGGAGGAAGTGCTTATACCTCTGTAAAGAGAAATTGCATGTGCACTGAGCTTTACCGTGTTCCTCTTCCACTTCCTACAACCTTCAGCAGTGGTATATCCCGTTTGTTGTACCTGGTTAAAAAGAGACGGTTGTGACTTCGTGCTGCCTCTTAGAAAGTACATATACATAAGTGGAAAGGAATTGCCAGCGCAGGGACCTGGGGCCTGAGGCCTGAGAAGGGAGACAGTCAGGCAATTTTGGGGACCTGGGTTTTCAGAGCAGGAGGAAATGCTACTAAATTCTCCTGCAGGTCCATCACTATAATTAGTTGAATGGGTGGCCACCGATATAAATAGTGTTACCAAGAAGAGAAGTAAAAGCCAATTGCTGCACTGCAAAGGTTTTGTTTACTTTGTGTTTAGAAATCTCCAGTCATCCAATGAGCTGGTATTGCACTGGATGAATGATACAGTTGTGTAGCCCCTGCCCTGATGAGACTCCCACATTCACTGGGTGAATGGACATGAAAATGAAAGAATAGGAGATGGAAATCAGGAAAGCTTGGTGGGGGGGGGGTCTACCCCACTACAGCTGGAGATTCAGGAGTAACAGCAGCATGAAATAGAAACCCCCACTTGGCAAAGAGAGATCTGCATCCAGAATGGCTTATTTCCTCAGATGATCAATCTATTTCTGCAGAGGTTTCTCTCCTACCTCTTTGGTTGACCTTGGGGGTTCCAGCACAGACCCCTTCTCACATTTCTGCCTGACCAGTCACTATATAAAGCCTAAACAACTTGCCATGTGTTGATAACCTAGTTCCTGAAACCTGGGCCTAGTGGGAGCTTACATGCCCATATCCTTGGCCCCCTTTCTCATTTCTAGGTCTTTGTTCTTGCTCTTCACTCTACCAGAAATGATCCTTCTCTTGTCTGCCCAGCCCTCATCTAGTCTATCTTCCTCTGGAAGCTGTTACTGCTGCAGCAAACTCCAGATTCTGTCTAGACACCTTTCCCATAACACCCTAGCTTTGACTCTTCACACCATTATAAAGGTCTGTTTCTTTGCTTTTTTTCCCCAGGAACTTGTCATTTCCTTGAGGCCAAAGACTGTGTCTGTCACAACTATACTCAAGCATCTACCACAGTGACTGTTGGTACCTGGCATGTATTAGGTGCTTAGTAAATATTAGATAAGGGGGCTTGTGGGAAGGGAATGCTTAGCAGTGTTTAATGTTTAAAAGGCCATCTAAGGCAAGCACTGAAAAGTGCTAGCATTTGCTACAAGGAAGTTGCTGTGTAATTCTGCCAGAGTAGTTTCAGTGTGAGTGTTGGGTACCCAGTGAAAGAGTAGGAGGTGAAAGTCAAACAGCAAGTATGCACAAGGCCTGGAGTACTATAGAAGTTAAGTAAACTGGGCCAAGTTTCATATGCAGTCATTCATTTACCAACTTACTTATGTGGGGTTTTTGACATAGACTCACCAGCTATTACCAGCCTGAAACTCACTCTCTTTATTTTTTTACTTTCTAGTACTGGAAATTGAACCCAAAACCTTGTGTATGCTAGCAACCTGTTCAGACTTCTCCTTTTTTATTATTTTTTTTTTCGGGGTTTTTTGTTTTGTGTTTTTTGGATTTTTTTTTTTTTTTTTTTCCCTAAGACAGGGTTTCTCTAGTTAGTCTTGGCTGTCCTGGAACTCCTCTTTAGATCAGTCTGGCCTTGAACTCACAGAGATCCACCTGCCTCTGTCTCCTGAGTGCCAGGGTTAAAGGTGTGCACCACCACCCAGCACTGCTTTTTTTTAATGGTAGGAAAAACCTGAGCACATCTGAACTTCCACATAGGAAGGTGCTTTCTGTCCAAGTCCTTAAGGAATCCTAGGGGTTTGGGATATTGGTATTTAGGGCTCCACATATATGAGGACCCAAGTTCAATCCCCAGTTATTTTACAAAAACAAAATAAAAACCTGAGACTGGGTGGTTTATATGGAACAGAGATTTAGCTAAGTGTAATGGTGAGAGCCTGTGACCCTGTGACATCAGCCGTTTGGGGAAGTGAGGTGTGAGGGATTACTACTGGTTTGAGGCCAACTTGGGCAACTTAGAGATTCTCAAAAAAGGCTGGGACATAGCTGAGTAGTAAAATGCTATCTTTCCCAACTCTCATGAGACAGAGGTAGACAGATCTCTATGAGTTAAAGGCCAAGTTTTAGGACAACCAGGGTTGTTATATAGAGAAATCCTGTCTCCAAAACAACCAAAACTTAAAAAAAAAAAAAAAAAAAAATGAATTTAGCTGGTGGTTCTCGCCTTCAGCCCCAGCACTCAGGAGGCACAGGCAGGTGGAGTACAAGGCCACCTTTGTATGTACAGAATGAGATCCAGGACAGCCAGGACTTCACAGAGAAACCCTGTCTCAAGAAAAACAAAACTAAAAGAATTGGAATTTAATCCCCAGAATCAGATTTTTAAAAATTTTTAAAATGGTGTTGGTTTTCCTAGGGAAATGGTTCAGCAATTAAGAGCACAGGTTCCATTCCCAGCCCCCACATTGCAGCTTCATTACATGTCTGTAACTCCAGTTCTAAGGGACCCTATGCCTCCTTCACAGGCACTGTGCATACATGGTACAAAGACAGTACAAAACATACATTAAAAAAAACTTTCTCAGAGTCCTAGGGTCTGGGAAGACCAAGGTTGAGGATCCTATGTCTGGCAAGAGCCTTTTTGCTGGAGCAGTGCATTTCAGAATGTGGGGAGGAAAGACCCATATCTTCTCAGGAATCCTCTGCTGAATAGACATCAGTACACTGATGGTGACCTAATCACTTTAGAAGCCCCCACCTTGGTCTTGGGCTAGTCAAATGGTCAGCATGTAAAGGACTGCCACCAGTGTCCGGTGTTGATGGTAGGACAGAACTGACTCCTACAGGCTGTCTTTTGACCTCCATATATGCTCCATGATGTGTGTGTGTGTGTGTGTGTGTGTGTGTGTGTGTGTGTGTGTGTAGTAAATGAATAATAGATAAACCTGAAGGTCTGGTTTCTAAACACTGTTACATTGCAGATTAAACTTCCAATATGAGCCAGAAAGGAGGAGCTGAAGATACATAGGGAGAAGGAAACACTGGGGGACTGAAAATGCAGATGATAGGATTTGATGTAGAGCACAGGCAAGGGCTAGAGAATTGTGAGACAGTATTGGGAAGAAAAGCCGAGGACATTGTAGGCAATCACATGGATAAAGAAATGTGTGAGAACTGGCCATTCAGTTCAAGTCCAGTCTATGAAGGTTCTTGTAGGACCCAATCAGAAGCTTGGGTCCAGTCCCATCAGCAGTGGGAATCCTTCCCTGTTGTGACTCATACCTTTGGCCAACTCCCTGTTTGGCTGCACTGATAGCGGTCAATGGTAAGTGATAGCCCATACACCCTCTCCCAGAGCCCAGATGCCCATCCAGCCTCCAGGCAAAGAAGCAGAAGAGATGGAGGCAGAAGGCGACTCAGCAACTGAGATGAATGGAGAGGCGGATGAGAGTGAGGAGGAACGGAGCGGCAGCCAGACTGAGTCAGAGGAGGAGAGCTCAGGTGAGTCCCTGCAATGTGTGTCACTTACGTGTACACACATGCACAAGCACACACAAAAGAGCAGCAGCTTGCCCCTGCAGCACCAACTAATTGGCCTCTCTCTCTCAGAGATGGATGATGAAGACTATGAGCGGCGCCGCAGTGAGTGTGTCAGTGAGATGCTGGACCTGGAAAAGCAGTTCTCAGAGCTGAAGGAAAAGTGAGCTTGGGAGTCTTGGGTGGGCCTTTGGGCAGCTGGGGTGCAAATGGTGCGTAAGGGGAGCGGGCGTCTGGCAAGCACTTGAGGACAGGTGATCACTGGAGAAGCTGGGACGCAGCTGTCTTTTGAATTCCAGGTTGTTCAGGGAACGGTTGAGCCAGCTGCGCTTGAGACTGGAGGAGGTGGGGGCTGAGAGGGCCCCAGAATACACCGAGCCTCTGGGAGGGCTGCAGCAAAGCCTAAAGATCCGAATTCAAGTTGCAGGTCTGTAGCTGCCCTCGCTCCCCAGAACCATGGCTTTCTGTCACCTGTCACATTTGCTCCTCCTGCCTTTCCCTACTCTTGTGGATCTCCTTTTGGGGGACATTGGGGCCCCTAGCCAAGCAGATCTCCTCTCCCCGCTTGCAGGAATCTACAAGGGCTTCTGTCTGGATGTGATCAGGAATAAATATGAGTGTGAACTCCAGGGAGCCAAGCAGCACCTAGAGGTGAGCTGGCAGGTGGGCCTCTGGGAGGGAGCCTGAGGTCTCAGCTCCCCTGGCTGAGTGTCTCCTCCCCTCCCAGAGTGAGAAGCTGCTGCTGTATGACACACTCCTTGGGGAGCTGCAGGAGCGGATCCAGAGGCTGGAGGAGGACCGGCAGAGCCTAGACATCAGCTCTGGTGAGGCAAGGGCCCAATCCTGCAGAACCTCCCCACCCCTGGAGCTCAGCTTCCCAAACTGCATAAAGAGCCAAATAGCCCACTTCCTGGGGCTCCTGTGAGAACTGAATGAATCGTCAGGGAAGAGTCTAGCTCAGTATTCCACATATAATGGGGACTCAAGCAGAGTGGTTCCCCTGCCCATCCCCATTTAGAATGGAGGGTTATCCAACTGACACGTGGATGCATACAAAAAACCATAGTCCTCTCCATGATGGTGGCATCTGTGTTCGCATGGGGTACCAACAATAGAAATGTAGGCAAATGGAAAACTGGAGCTTAACTATGAAGGGCAGTGCCTTTTTCACAGGCTTGTACCAGTGTGCAGTAAGGACTGAGTGGTCCCAAGAGGCCACCAGCCTCAAGCCCAAGATTGGGGCCATTGCCCTGATTGTGATGGGGAAGGGAGGGGAGACCAGGTTGGTCCACAGGGGTGGTGGGAGTTACCTGTGGTCACTGTCCTGATCCTGACTTGAGTCTCTGGGCACAGAGTGGTGGGATGACAAACTACACGCCAGAGGCAGCTCAAAGACCTGGGACTCATTGCCACCCAGCAAGAGGAAGAAGGCACCTCTCGTCTCTGATATCCTTCCGCTCAGAGTCGCCCTGAAACTGGGCGAGACAAGGCAGGCCCTGGGCTCAGGGAAGTTAGCGGGATTGTATGGGACAGAGTCAAACTAGAATCATTCATGGTCATTTGATGTCACTTGAAATGTCCAGCCGTCAGGATTTTCTTCTGTGTCCTGGGTCCTCTTGAGCTCAGTGGAGACCAAAGAAACAGAAAACCTAGCTCACTGACTCCTAGTAATTTCCTGAGAAAGGATGAGCCTACAAAGCCTTCTGGCTTTCCCTCGGTGTCCTGGTGTCAGCCCCATGCTGTCTCAGGCCTTGCTCAACCCTTGTGGAGCTATTGCTTGTCTATGCAGTAGTGTCATGTCAGATGCTGTGTCCTCTGAGGTCTTTCCTGGTCCATAGCCCCCAGCCCTATGCATGTGTTCTCTTCCGTATTGAGCCGTGAGACAGGGGACTCTGTCTATGACCCGCCTGTGCTGCAGAGCATAGCACTGAGTGGAGGTCTGCCACCTCTACAGTGTCAGCCCTGGGACCACCTCAGGATGGAGGTGGGATGGAGACTTTATTGAACCATTGTGGGTAAAGGTAGATTTCAGAACCAGAGCACAGTGTGCTATCAGGAGGGAAGAGGCCAGGGTCCACATTTAGGTGAGGGAGGGTCCAATGAGGCCGTTCCTGACAGAACCATACAAAGCAGCAAGAGCAGGGCTCCCCGGGATGGCATGGGACTTGGTCAGCTGATCTGGAAAAAGGCTGAGAGTGAGTGAGGGAAATGGGTAAGGTATCATGACCAACACAGTCACCAAGCACTAGGGTCCCTGAGGCAGGAGGTGGAGCTTGGATTAAGCCCAAGGTCTCACTGAGTGTAAAGGCGCGGGCCTTTAATCCTATTGCTCAGGAGGCAGAGGTAGGTAACTGAGTTCCAGACTAGCCAGGGCTACATGGAGAGACTGTGTCTCCCAAAAAAAAAAAAAAAAGGCTCTTGTCACCCCCCTCACACTACCCATGTACCACCTCTCCTAAGCGGCAGGTGGGTGGTACTGCCACCTGTCCACCCGTGGCCTTCCAGTGGAGCCGGTCCTGTGTCTCCTGCTTCCTTGACCCCTGTGCAGGCCCATACATTGTATACATGCTGCAGGAGATCGACATCCTGGAAGACTGGACGGCTATCAAAAAGGTGGGTCCTGCCCCCCTTTCCCTCATACACACACATACACACACACACACACACACACACACACACACACACACACACACACACACACACGCTGGTGCCGGCTCCGGTATCTGAGGGTATCTAGGTAGTTTTCTCCCTGCTCCTCAGCAACAGCTGCCTCAGCCCTGGTACCAACTTTGTGGTAACTTGTTTGTAGTCCTCCTGCCTAGACTGACCTGAGGAAAGGATATGTTCTGGTTAGCACTTGGTCCAGGCAGCTGCTAGACTGGCCCCTGAGAAGAGAAGTCTCAGAGCTTGGTGTAGAGTTTTTTCTATTTCATGCAATTTGACTCAGCAGCTTTTTGGGGGGGGAGGGCATTGTCAGCAAGTTAAAGCAGACTCTGAAGGGCCCTTTCTTCTCTCCGCCCAGGCCAGGGCAGCAGTATCCCCTCAGAAGAGAAAAGCAGATGGTAAGAACCAAAGAGGTGGCCCTGTCAGAGTCCATAGCTTGATGTCACTTTGAGGATTTTGTGGGAGTTTGGGGAATGGGATCCAGGTTGGGAAAGCTCTTGGCTGACGGAACAAGGATGTAGAGATAGGATGGAGGGGAGGGCCCAGTGGTAGAGCCTCGCCTCCGGGGGCAAGACCCTGGGCTGAAGCTCAACACCACAGAAAGATAAAGGTGGACTGGAGCCCTCCTGCAGCGAGGCGGGTCAGAGAGGGCAGGAAAAAGAAGCCCTGTGGGTGCGGAGATAAGGCACCTCCCTCAGGGCCTTCAGGCAGTGGTTCTCTTGATTCAACTTCCTTTTAGTGGCTTTTCCATTGCTCCTAGGACCCTGACCCTGCATTTCCACTCAGAGGGTCCTTGGAGCAGCTGGCACCACACACAGGACTAACATTTTTCTGCAAAGACAGGGGGTTGCCTAGTAGCTCTCTAGTGCTACTGCTGTCCCCTGACCAACACTGGCCTGGACTCCTCTGTTCTCCTTGGGGATCTGCATAGCTGTGACCCTGAAGCTGATCTGGCCAGCAAGACTCCATCCCTGCTCCTCCCCCCCCCAGAGTAACTTCCTCAGTGTCCCCCCAATAAAATGGACTTCATCAAAGTGGCAACCCTTCTGACCCCCAGCCTCTGGGCCAGGAGCTGGGCCCCACTGCAGGAGAACTCTTGAGCCAGAAACATGTTGGGGTCTTGCTATCCTGGCTGTCGCTGGAGATGGCAGCTCCCAGTCTTTCTCAGGGCCATTCCTGGTGTCTGCCTCCCAGATCCTAAAGACTGGAATAAAACTCATCCTGGGACCTCGACGTGACCGATGTGTGTCTGCTGTTCTCTCAAAGGGAATAAGGCTTTTATGGGGAACACTGGGACAGACCCTTCTGGGGTCCCTGTAGTTTGGGACATCGTGACTTAGAAAAGAGCCTGTGCCCTGAGCTGGAAGCTACACGTGGCACAGGCAAGCAAGTGGGGCACATGGCTTGGCATGGCAAAGGGGCTGTGACACGTGCCTGCAGGCCAGGTCATGTCTGCACCTGCCCCAGTCACTTGGCAGATTGGCAAGGCAGGCTCACAGGCAGGGCCTGTGTGTGGGAGGCAGCTAGCAGCAGCACCATGTGCTTGCGACCTCACAGCCACACTCCCCCCTGGTTAGCAGTGAGTGTCAGAACCACCCCCAGAACCTCAGTTAAGCAAAGGGTTTAGTTTCCATGGAGACACAGCATCCTTTCTCCATAGCAACCTGAAATCACAAAACCCAAGTTAAGTTCAGGAATGAGTCATCTGTGACCAGTAGGGGGTGCTCTCCCACAAGGCTGACCCCCTCCAAGGCAGGAACAGATGAGCAAGTGACCACAGACTTCTTAAGGTGACACAGGGGTGAGGCTTGGGCCTATGGGAACTTGATCTGCTCTGTTTAACTCCTCCCTACCTAGCCACATAGTGGCATAGTGTAAGGAGACTATCTGTGAGGAAGGGCTGTATGGAGGTGGTCTTCCCACAGCTGAGGCCCTCAGAGTGGCACTAACATGGAGGGGACCCTGCCATTCAGGGCTGGACCCAGAATAGAAGAAGTGGACATTGGCCACATGGAGTGGACATATAAGAGTTAACTGGTGGGGTGTGACAGGGCGAACCGCCTTCAGGAAGTGTTACTCACCGCCAGGAATGTGCGCGCCTGTGCCTTGGGGGTTGGATTCTCTTCCTGAGTCCCAGGAGAAGCTGAAGGAGCTCCCAGCCATGGAGAACCCTGGGGAGACAGAAGCATACCCCTTGGAAGCTGCCAACCTGAACTTTGTGCCTGGGCACCAACAGAAAGAAAAGTTAGTGAAGTTGGGAGGCCAACTGGGTGTAGGGGATGAGGGCAGCGGCAGGAGGGGCTGGCAAAGACAGGATAGGTAGGAAGCCCAGAACAGGGAAAGAGGGAAGATCAGGAAGACCCCTGCTCAGGTCTGGGTGTTTGCCCCCAGGCCATCTCCCGACCCATTGTATGACACACCTGATGCCAGCGGGGCACAGGCAGGCGGGGCCCAACAACCAGCGCGCACTGTGAGCCTGCGGGAGAGGCTGCTGATCACCCGGCCGGTGTGGTTACAGCTGCGGGCCAATGCTGCAGCCGCACTGCACGTGTTGAGGACAGAGCCTCCAGGGGTGAGTCTTTCTCCTTCTCCAGGACTGGCCTGCCAAGGGTGGGAGAGAAAGGGCCTGGACATGAGGCACTTGAGCCTCCTAATCCTGTTCCCTTGCAGACCTTCCTGGTACGGAAATCTAACACTCGCCAGTGCCAGGCTCTATGTGTGCGGCTGCCAGAAGCCAGTGGCCCCTCTTTTGTCTCCAGCCACTTTATCCGAGAGAGCCCTGGCGGTGAGGGGGCTGGCCTGGTGGGGAAGGGGCTGGAGACAGGCGGGGTAGGGAGGTCCCCAGAGAACAGCCTCACTCCCAGTGTCTCTCAGGCATCTCTTTGGAGGGTTCAGAGCTCATGTTCCAGGACCTGGTTCAGCTCATCTGTGCATACTGCCATACCAGGTGAGTCTGTCTTCCTGCCGAATGGGTACCTCATGTCCACCCCCCTGCACCTGAATACACTTGCTCTTGACTGCTCCTTGTTCTGACCTTAGGGACATTCTTCTCCTCCCACTCCGGCTCCCCAGAGCCATTCATCAGGCAGCCACCCACAAGGAGCTAGAGGCGATCTCCCATTTGGGCATGGGTAAGGGTTCCCTGCAGCCCATTGCACAGATGGACACATAGAGACCAAATGGGGGGGAAAGGGGGCAACCAAGCTTTTTTTGTGTGGGCACCCTCCTGAGTCAGCTCTGAGGCTCCCATTGATTTCTGATTGCTAGAGTTCTGGAGTTCCTCCCTCAACACCAAGGTTCAGCAGAGGCCTTCTGAAGCCCCACCGATACCCAGGCTGAAGGCTCGCTCCCCTCAAGAGCTGGATCAAGGCACTGGTGCAGCCCTCTGCTTCTTCAACCCCCTTTTCCCAGGGGATCTGGGCCCCACCAAACGTGAGAAATTCAAGAGGAGTTTTAAAGTGCGTGTATCCACAGAGACCTCCAGCCCTCTGTCTCCACCTGCTGTGCCGCCTCCCCCAGTCCCAGTGCCGCCAAGGACTTCTTCCAGCCAAACAGAAAGACTGCCTCCTCGAGAGCTGCTGCAGAGAGAGAGCTCAGTGGGGTATCGCGTGCCAGGGAGTGCTTCTGGCCCGAGTCTTCCTCCACTACCTTCACTTCAGGAGGCGGATTGCTGCTCCCCTAGCAGCTCAGAGGAGGAGGGTTCTCCAGGAAGCCCTACAACCTCCCCACGCCTGGGCCGCCCAAGGCAGCAGCGGCCTTTGCTTCGGTCCATGAGTTCTGCTTTCTGCTCTCTGCTCGCACCTGAGAGGCAGGTGGGCCGGGCAGCCACAATGCTAATGCATAACCGATACACAGCTGTGGGTCAGCTAGTGCAGGACCTATTGACCCAGGTTCGGGCTGGTCCTGAGCCCCGGGAGTTGCAGGGCATCCGCCAGGCCCTAAGCCGGGCCCGGGCCATGCTGAGTGCAGAGCTGGGCCCTGAGAAGTTGCTACCGCCGGAGAGGCTGGGTAAGGCCCCAGCCCTGGCCTCGGGTTCAGTTCCTGGCTCTCTATCCTTCCTCATCCACCTCTCTCCCTGCCTTGGTGCCTAATGATATACTCCTGGTTTCCCTGCACCCCACTTCCCCCATACTGCTGTTGCAGTCATTTCCATCCCCCATCCCTCTCCCTACCGCCTGTCTTGACCAGGGCCTCCTGCTCTTCCAGGCCCCTTCCCCCTGACTGTCTACTCTCCTCTGGCAGAATTGGTCCTGGAGAAGTCCTTGCATCGCTCTGTTCTCAAGCCTCTTCGACCTATCCTAGCTGCCCGCCTGCGGCGCCGGCTTTCTGCAGATGGTTCCCTTGGCCGCCTAGCTGAGGGTTTACACCTGGCCCGGACCCAGGGGCCTGGAGCCTTCGGGTCCCACCTGTGCCTCACCTACCCAACGGAGACAGAACAGGTGCGCCAGAAACTGCTTCAGCTGCTTGGCACCTATTCACCTAGTGCCCAGATCAAGTGGCTCCTGCAGGCCTGCAAGTTGCTCTACACAGCCCTGAAAACCCAGGCGGGTATGACCTCACCACCTTCCCCTTCTCTGGCTCTTTCTGAGTAGAGACTGAGCCCTCTTTCTCAGGGAGAAGGACCCAGGACCCTAGAACTGCAAAGAGGACAGAAGGATCCAACCTGCCCATCTCAGGGGTTTTAGAGAGTAGTGTCTTTCTTCCCTGTAAACTTCCCTGTGGTTGCTATGATAGTCTGGCCTTGTCTAGGGTTCTAGCAGGTGGAGGGGAGGAGTCACTGTCTACCACAGGGTTGAACCCTAGCCTTTGGGCCTCTGAGGAGGCTGGAACTCCCTCCTTCCCATTTTTCCACAGGTGAGGATGCAGGTGCTGATGAGTTCCTGCCTCTGCTGAGCTTTGTCTTGGCTCAGTGCGACCTTCCTGACCTCCTATTAGAAGCTGAGTACATGTCGGAGCTACTGGAGCCTACCCTGCTCACTGGAGAGGGTGAGGGTCCCCTCACTTCCTGTCTAGGTGGAAATGAGGCTTCTGAGTTGCTGAGCAAGCAAGGAAGGCAAGGCAGAATGCCCTACTCCACCCTGAGCTGCATTCTATGTACCCTGTTTCCTAGGTGGCTACTACCTGACCAGCCTCTCTGCCAGCCTGGCCTTGTTGAGTGGCCTGAGCCAGGCCCGCTCTCTCCCACTCAGCCCGGCTCAGGAGCTCCAGCGCTCTCTGGCCCTCTGGGAACAGCGCCGCCTGCCGGCCACCCACAACTTCCAGGTAAAGGGCCCTTCCACATGTCTACTCCAAATTGGCCTTGACCAGAGAGACTCTGACATCACCCAGCACAGTTCCTCTAGCCCTGCATCAGCCTTCAATAGAAATAGAGGCCCATCTAAGTATCAGAGCAGCCCTTGTAGGGAATGTGTTCCATGGGACAGGCACTAGACTGTGAGCTCCAAGACAGCCTTCTTGAATCTTCACAGAAACTCTGAAATAGGGCTATTGTTTGCCCCATTTTACAGATAAAGAGGTAGAAACTGAGGTGAAGAGTGACATCTCCTTGGCCCCCAATATCAGTCAAGGTTCTGCCTTCCTTGTCATAGACCTTCAGTCTATGTTCCCTCCCATTTGGACCCTGGCCAGGGTGCGCTACCTTGAACTTCAACCTTCTCAGTCTTGCTAGGAATCCAGACTTTGTAGCCAGGCCCCAGCTTTGTCCCAGCTCTATCACTTTTTTTCCTGTGCCTTGGTTTTCTCATCTCTGAAATGGGCATCTGGGCTGCCATGAAGGTGAGATGCACTGGTGCATGTTGGGGTTAGTGCTAGGTAATTAGCCCCAGGAACAGTTAGGGAACGAGCCCTGCATGCAGGGCACTCACCTCTTGGGTGTCTTTCGGGATTCTGAAGTTCCCTCTGGACTGGCCTTGCACCTATGCCACCACATTTTCTCTGCCCCAGTGTCCCCTTGGAGCTCACAAGGCTCCTGTCGCTCCATTCTACCATAGACGTGTGCCACCCCTGTCCCTGCACAGCTTCAGCTTGTTCCTTCTGTTTTGGAGGTGACCACCCAGCATAGCTGAGAACTTCTTGTCTTCTGCACAGCACCTCCTCCGAGTAGCCTACCAGGATCCCAGCACAGGCTGCACCTCCAAGACCCTGGCTGTGCCCCCAGGGTCGTCAATTGCCACCCTGAGCCAACTCTGTGCCACCAAGTTCCGAGTGACCCATCCTGATGCATTTGGCCTCTTCCTCTACAAGGACCAGGGCTACCATCGCCTGCCCCCTGAAGCCCTGGCCCATGGGCTTCCTACAACTGGCTACCTCATCTACCGCCGGGCAGAGAGGCCCGAGACCCAGGGGGCTGTAACAGAGAAGGCAAAGGCAGGCAGTGAGAGGCAAGAGGTGGGAGCATGGGAGGAGGAGAAAGGGACCCTGAATAGTGAGGGAGAGTCAGAGACAACTGTAGACCGAGGAGGTGAGGGTCAGGCCAGAGGGGGTCATGTACAACCAGAGGAGCAAAAGGCAGAGGGAAGCCGGGCTGCAGAAGAGTAGCCAGGAAGAGCCAAGAGGGTCCCCTGGGCCTCCAGGAGCCTCTAATCTACTCTTCCCAGCTGCCAAGCTTCCTTCACCACCCACACCCAGTTGTCTGTGTGTCTGCCACCACCTCTATCTGATCTTCATGAGTCCACCTGCTAGGAAACAGGACTGGACACATTGACTAGGGCAAAGTCAAGAGAGTTAGGAGACTCCAAGACCCTGTGTCCAATGCCCCTGGCCTGTGTTCCTCCCTAGCCCACAGAGATAAATGTGCCCGGAAAGGGACAGATTCATCTAATAGCCGACTCCAGCATAGGAGGAGAGTGTTCCTGGCTTCTTTTGCCTCTCCTGCTGCCCATGGGCACAGGCAAGGTTGCTGGAGTTTCAAGACCCTGAACAACTCTAGGGACCAGGGTGGTGGCAGAACAACAGCAAAGGTCCCAAATGGCTCTTCCCTGGTCTGCAAAGAGGGGATATGAGTACATTTTTCAGGCTCCTGGAGTGACCCAAGCCCCACATGGATAGTTGGTGACAAAGACTGGGCAGGGGAAAGGGAGGAAAGGACAGGTGTTAGCAGTGACATCATTCCTCAGGGCACCTGCCCTTAGCAGGCAGGCTTCATCTGTGTCTCCTTCCTCAGTCAGTCCAGAGATTGTCCTGGAAGCTGGATCACAAGAGAGAAAGCACCTATGTTCCAGCCTTTTTACAAGATCAGAAATCTAGTGAGGCACTTAAGTATTTCTGGGAAACTGGACCCTGGGAAGTAATGGCCACTAGCTGGAAGAGAAGTTTCCAGAACAGAGAGAAGGTGCTCCACAAACATTGTCTTCGCACTCCTCTTTTGGGGCTCTTGCAAAAGCTTGGCCATAAGGCACAGCATGTAGCTTGTGGGTCCCACTGCAGGTGATTCCCAAGATGTTTTAGCAAACTATTCCTCAGTGCCAGAGGGAAGCTGACTGCAAATCTGAGCAGAGGAAAATGCCCACCGATAGCCACAAGAGGGCATGCACAGCCTAAGAAGCTATGGGAGGGTGACAGCTCCCCCTCCCCATTCCCCGGGGTGAGATGGGGATAAAGCGAATTTAAGAGCCATAAAGTGTAGGCAGTCACTGGCCTTATACTCTTACAGCTATTGATACCCTGGGAAATGAGGGCAGAGGCCACTTGCAGCAAGTCAGGGATTCTTAGGGAAGAATTGTTTCCAGTCTCAGAGGCACTCTCCTGGGACTCAGCAAAGGACACCAGCTCACAAGTCATTACAACAAGGTGACAGAAGTGTGGGCTTCAGGTCCACGTCTACCCAGTATAGGGCTCCAAAGTAGTCACTAAGCCACCAGTGTTCTTCCTTCCCCACTTCCATGCCTTTCCCTAGGAGGGGAAAGTGTGTATGAGAAGGGACAAGTTCTTCTGGTATCTAATATTGGGCATAGGGGGAGGTGGTGCCAGCTCCTTGTGCCTCTCTCTACCACCCAGAGGCACAGACAGGGTTGCTGGGACTTCACGGCCTTGCACATGGCCCTTTATTCCATGATATGTCCTCCCTCCCCCCAACACTTTGTACAGGATGGAGCTCTCCACAGGTGCTCAATAAATGGTGTCCACTGACTGAAGCTTGATAACTAGCAGTAAGAGATGGGTGGGGTGGGGGTAGGAAAGCTGTTTCTGGGAATGAGATGCAGGACATATGGTGCTCAGTCCCAGGGGAAGGACCTGGAATGTCTGCAAAGGATGCTCAGAGAACCCTGCAGGCAAGATACAGAGCTGGTCTCATGGGAACCAGGTCTCTGGGACCTCCACAGGCCCTGCCTGTTTGTGCTCAGTTCTAATTCTGGGCTCCTAGAATTCAGTGTAGATCCAGCTGTGGCTTAAATAAGCACTTCTGGATCCTGCCTCATGTCTGAACTTTTTTTTTTTTAATCTAATTACCTATCAATCCAGGCCAAGTCAGTATGGGCACAATTTGATATCAATAGAAGACCAGCCAGGCAGGGTTGGTGGTAATACACCAGTCTGAGACTAGTCTCTCCATCTTATTTTTCTTCTCCCAATGTTTCCATTTTATAAACAAGGAACCTGAGTCCTTCTTCAGGAAAGTGGTTTGTTACAGACAGAAAACTCAACATATACCTTCCAGAGAGAAAGAATAATTTAATCATACTCTCAGCAATCAAAGCCAGGCATCTGTAATCCCAGCACTGGGGGAGCTAAACAGAGGAATGAGGAGTTAAGGGTTATCCTTGGCTACATAGTGGAAACCAGCCTGGATACACAGCCAGACCCTATCTTTAAAAATAAAGGTGTGTGGATTTTGTGGGATAGTTCCAAGTGCTGCAATCTGGGGGGGGGGGTGTAACCTTGAACTACTGCATTCCAGTAAACTCTACCATTCCTGCCATCTTCCATGTCCTAGAAGTCAAGGCTCTGAGATGTGCGGTGTCTTCCAGTGACCACTGCTGCAGGGCAGGATGGGGACATTGGTTTGGGTGTCTTGAAAGCAGACATGTCATTTCCTTGCTTGACAATGTTGCATTTGCCATTTTAAAATCAGGGCAGTTGTATGTGTGAGTTTGTTTATTATCTGTCTTCCCCAGTAGCATGCCAGAGCCATACTGGCTTTCTTCCCAGCAGTCCTTCAAGGACCTAGAACAATGCCTAGGCTGGAACTGGCAATTGTAAAAATGATGCAAAATGGTAGATTCCGGAAGACTCCATCAAAACCCATCCTGTCTGTTCCAGGGGTCACATTCTGTACCACTTCTACCAAAGGATATGCACACCTCATTTCAGCTCCACACCAAGGGCTCTTCTCCCCTGGTGCTATCCCAAGGAATGAATACCCTACTGGAGGTAGAAGACCACCAGGCATCGCTTGAAAGGTGGTCAGGAGTAGAGTGCGGAAAGGGCCCAGCTGGGCCAGAAACAGGGGCCTATGTGATGGTCCGAGGGGTGGAGTGAACAGCAGTCACTAAGACTCACTCTGACCCACCCTCCTCAGCATCCTACTGTGGCCTTATGACCAGTGTTCACACCCACAGATTAGAGCATAGTGACTCTCTGACCCACATTCCAGTGCAAAGTGATACTGTTATCCCAGTGTTACTACAGTGCCAGGCACCCCCAAGGATAACACACATACCCAGACCCCACTATGACCTATTTGGGGATTGTGGACCCAGGCCTATAGTGACACAGACTTCCTGACACGGGTCTCTGTGCAAAAGTGCCAACAACACTCAGTCTCCATTTGGTACAGTTACATCCATGTTCTGGATAGATGTAACACTACAGCTTCTGCTTCCTATTCTGTCTAAGCCCAGGAAATGAATCACCCCCAACCCAACACACACACACACACTCACACACACACACACACACACACACACTCACACACACATTTTACACACACACACTCACACACACACATCTTTTTATACTTTGGAGCATGAACAGGAGGTCCAACCCCAATCTCCTAATATCTGGCCTACCCCTGCCTACCTCCCCCACCCAGCCCCCTGTGGGCCCCCTGAGGAAACTGAATTGCTGAGAAGCCCCCTGCAAGGGTGTGGTAGCCTCACAGGCTAGGCAAGAGTTGAGACAGGCATGCTGGGCGGGGCAGCTTGAGCTCATCAGATTCCAGCCTGATTCACAGGAGGAGCTGAAGGATGGAGGATGGGAACCGGCATTGGCCCAGGAGCTGGGGCTCTGGGTGGCTGAGTGGGCTTTGGATCCAAATGTCATGGTGGTGGCCCCTCCCGAAGGGTACCCCCTGAGTGAGACTTAGGCCCCTTTGCAGAGCTGTAGGATGAGACAATCAGCCCCGCCTTCCAGGCTGGGAAACACACCCCTCCACCCCCTGCAACCTTCCCTGGCCTTAGCAGCTGGATGTCTTTAGCTGGGGAGGTGACCTTCACAGTCCATCTTGGATCCTCCAGGCTCAGCCTGGCAGTCTACTGGTAGACTCCTAAAGGTCGGGAAAAGCTAGACTTGTCTGGTCCCATTGCATGGGTCTGATAGGGTTACAGACCCATGTTGCCCTGTACTGTCAGGCAAACCCTCTGCCAGAAGGAGAGAATGCCTGGGCTGCCCCAGCACCTCAAATGTTTTCTTGCTGAGATCGAGCCCTTTGCTCCTGCCATCCCCAGAACTCCTTGTGTTCCCAACTGAGGGATGCTTACAGGAGGTGGGGGGGGGGGCAAGCCCAGACTCAGCTGCAGGGTGACAGGAAGAAAGGATGGGGGCAGGGTGAGGGTGAGGGTACAGGAAGTGCCTTTCTTGGAACTCTGCACCAAAATAGCCCATTCCATCCCAACTTCGAGTCTGGTGTCCCACGGGGGAGGTGTGTGTCACCAAGGAGACCCTCACTGGGGAGGAGCATGAACTGACCTCAGTCTGGCTTTTGCTTGCCAGCCCCCTCCATCCCCACCACAGCCTGGGTTCCACTTTGAAGTCCCAACGTAAATATCATGTCTGCTCGGGTTCTCCTTCCTGGCCTGGTCACAGACCCCAGACCTGGCTTCTACCCCAGCCAGCCCCCAGGATACAGTGCAGGGAGAAAGGAGGGAGGCTAGACCACCCAGGGATGGTGGCAGGATAGAGACGCTGTTAAACAGACGGGAGCGATGGGAGATGCAGAGCAGAGATGTAGAAGGAAATGAAAGCAAAGAGACCCCTGAAGGCCAACATGAAAAATGGAGACCCCCAGACACAGAGGAAAAAGAGAGGAATTAGATGGGGCAGACAGAGTCAGGGATCCTGGGGAATGGTGAGGGCCAGGAAGAAGTTGGACAAAGAAGGGAAAGGACCTCTGAAGCAAGTTTCAGAGGAGGGGTGTGGCAGAGATCAGAGACCAGGCCTAGGATAGCTAGGGAAGGATGTGGCACAAAGAAACTAGTCCCTGTGACAATGGGACCAGTCACCTAGTTTACCCAGGCCTGGGGTATGTGTGGTTGAGGTGGGATCCTAGGAGTGGGGACTGCACTTAGAAAAGTCCTCGACAGACTGGGCTAAACTGATCTCCCCTTTGAGCAGAAAGCCTACACCCACAGGTGCCCTTGCTCAGGCTTCAGAAGGGACTGCCTGCACAACTCAACAGGGCTGGCCCTTCTAGCCGAGACACAGGTTCCAGGATTTCTTTTCTTGAGGG